ACAATGTTATGTATGGGTTTTGAGTAGATTCACAAACAGGCATGGCTTTCTATAGCCTATCCTGTGGTATATAATGTGAAGAAAACTTGAGAAGAGTTCTCATCTGGTGCCCTTTCTATGATGCCCCAAGATCTCGACTGATTGCCCCAATTATTCCCAAATATGAGAGCATGCATATAAAATTTATATATATTATTTTTTAAGGGATGCTAACTCTACACTCATATATCAGGTGGCCTAATATTTTCACCATGTTACACAACTGTGCAAAATTTTTAATTAGATACATTGTTTTATTGCCCTATCATTTTAATAACTAGCTGCTGTATTAAGCTATTACTCTTTTTACTGTGTTCTTTTATTGTCAAGACTGGTCAAAGACCTCAATAAATTAAACAAACAAACAAACCTAACTGCAAAACAAAAGATTATACCAAAGATGTTTTATTAAACAACAACAATCAGCTATTGAAACTGAGAGTTGGTACTATTGACAGGCTAAGAGACTCGGAATTTGATCTATCCAAAATTAGAACAATTCTCCAAAAACTTAACATGTATGCTTTGGAAGGAGAAGCCAGAAAAATAAAAATCATATCCAACTGGGATCTATGGAGAAAAACATTCCAGCTAAATTTTTCCTAATACTTCCCTATGGGAGTGGCAGTAAGACTAAAGCTCAGAACACCATTAACTCCTCCAGTATAAATACTCTTCCTTGGTCCCACTTAATCACAAAGGGTTGGAAAGAATTCTGGAAACCATACTCCATATAAGTTTCCTAATTAAGGGATTGTTGTAAGTATGTAAATAAATTGTAATTAAGATAGCATTGCATCTGTACTACATATGTAAAATGAAGAAATGTTCCAAGCTATGAAAATGACTCATTTCATTGAATGAAGCATTGCCTAGAAGTTTCAACATTGTGTCATCTTACATTTATAATCCCATTGTGGATAGGAAAAATCGGGTATTTAAATTAAAAAAAAAATAGGCAAAGGATAAAAATATGAACCACTTTTTCAAAAACGGAAGCCCCTGTGAACAGAAAGGAAACTTTTTTCATGAAATTTCCAATTTTTAGCCTTATGAGAACTAAGTGGGAATTAACCGCTCTCTTACCATCAGTTAAGAAGTAGTAGGTAGAACTAGCAACCAAGGAAAACAGCTTAAAAGGACATTGTGTAGACTCAGATCTGCCTTTCATAGTTGCATCCTGATTATACCTTTGATCAACAAAGTCATTCATTGGAAAATCCCATTTTGATATTTTAAAATTCAACGTAATCATGGACGATGTTGGAAGAGGAGGTAGAGAAGGAGAACAAATAATATTGTTTCTGTGCCCTGCTCCACAGAAAAAAAGAATGTGACCTATTTGCTAAAAGCAGAATTGAGAAAAATATGCAGTTAAAAATATGTCAGGCCTTTGGCATATACTTCATCACTAATTCACCACTGAGTTTGTCCTCAGCAAATTTCTTTTGCAGAGTATAGCAAATAGTTTGGGAAAAGTCAAGATTGATTCATGTATTTTCAGAATAAATTACGAGGAACATCTTTCCTAGTCTTTTTTTGTTAATATATTTCTCTTCCGGTACCTCACCTGGTACCTGGCAAACTGAAATCTTAAGCAAATCAGAGTACTGGATCTGATTCCTTTGAGACACCCTACCCCATGAATGTACGTGAAAGGCTCCTTCATATTTAGGTTCATCAATAATGAAACAAGTCAAAACTCAGAGATTTCAGAAGGCATCATTAGGGGTTACAAAGGGCATATCAGAAGGAGAAGATGCATAGATTACATAGCTGGCTTTGCCTAAGACAAGACCAATTTCTAGCATATTGCCAGTTAATTGACATACAAAACAGAATATATTTACAAAGTTGGGATCAGTGTAAACTAATACTCTCCTTTAAGCAGAAAAATGGATCTATTTTATTTATTATTCATAAATAAATGGATTTATTTGTATATATGGAACGGTGACTTTTCATACAACGGAAATCTTTAGGTTACTGGATCTTGTAAGATTTGCCTGCAAATTACATAAAAATGCTTTCAAATAATGTTTGTCAGTCAAGCGGTGTATGTTTTATTATCAGTTCTTGGCAAGAAATGCTGAATGTTGTGTTATTGGCATGACTGGAAAACTTATGGCACATTATGAGATTGCTTTGTTTTATATTAAAATGGATGCAATTAGGCAGAATCAGGTTGGAATTTCAAGATTTTCCTGGAAAGTTCTCTCTCCGTCTCTCATCAGTACATTGCCTAAGTAAGATGCTTCATACTATGGAGGTGATAGAGTTTGTTGAGTTGGTGATGTTATTCTGCAGGAAAAGGTGTTTTCTGTCACCTCAAAACTTCATACAGCAGTTCTGTAGCCAGGAGAGACCTGTCTCCATGCAAAAAAGTGTCTAATCTGGAATGGAAATAGGCACAGATATTTTACCTGCTAGAAATGCTAAAGATCCCAAAGCAACATAAAAGAAATACACTAAAGTGGGGCGTTGTTTGACAAGCATATTCAAAGGGGGACTTCAAATCATCAAGGTGAAACACTCCTCCAAAGTTTTCATTGTGAATACAGTGCCTGTGAAGGATGTGTAACGTTCAGAAAAATATGGTATCAAGTTATAAAAAGGGTCATTGGGGAAGCCAAATTCATTTAACTACTGTGTTACTAACTTAACAACTGCAGTGATTAATTTAACAACTATAGCAAGAAAGGTCGTAAAGTGGGGCAACACTTATTTAACATCTGTTTTGTTTAGCAACATAAATTTTGGGCTCAATTGTGGTCATATGTTGAAGATTACCTGTGTAATCCTTTCCCCAACACCAGCATTCAGCCTCCAGTGATGACAGTCTTAAAAATATAGTAGCATGGGTATTAAAAATACGGGTCTATGGCATGGCAGTGCTTATAAATTCATTTCTTTTACTCTCTGATCTTACTAACAAGTAATTCAATAATTATGTAACAATTAGGAATCCAAATTGTTTAATATTTAATGGCCAATACTGCTATATGTTTTGACTTTGATTTTTAGGAAAAGCAATATTAAAATAATAACTGACTAAATAAAAGTTCAAAATGACTCTGGCAATAGAATAAAGCCATTGTATAAGTTTACTATTTACAAAGTCTGTACATTACAAAGTAAATCTGAACCAGGGATAATCCTTAACTGGCAATCTGGAATGTGATCCATTTCTTACCGATAAATATAAATTAGGTCTCCCTCCCCCAGTTATTATATTGTCCTCTGACTGAAAACATAATACTGTGTAGCAAATCAATGCTTTTTTTCCTCATTTTTGTACCAATAATCAGTTTTTATAATAAATGAAAAGAAGGTGCATTCTTTGTGCTTTCCAGAAATGAGAAGCTATTATTTTATAAATATAGAATACACTGATTTTCTTAGCTAAGTATAAGTATGCAAGATTTATGCCTACCATACACGCAAACATTTATTTAAAATTGCTTGGTAACACATACATATGGAATTGGGTGAATTTTCAATTTGAAATCATAAGCACCTTATTTTAAAAAATAGCTGAGAATGGCAAAAGGAGGTACACCTATGCTTGTAGATTGAGTGGTTTAAATTTTGTAAATTACAACATTGCAAATTCCAAAAATGGAACTCCTATATTTATTTCTAAACTCCCAAGTTACATTCCTTTGCTAAATATGTTAGATTTTAAATAAAACAATAAAAATATTTGTAAAATCACCCAAGCAATTTCCATTCCCAAGATCTATGGATGGATTTTTATTTTGTTGTAATGAAAAGCCAAACTTCTTCCAATCAAAAGGCAACTTGTTAGCAGCAACAGTTTTTATTGGAAAAATAGTGAGCTGATGCTTACTATTAACTGCAAAATGGGAGCAAAACTTGTAGAGTTTTGAATTTTGCATGTGAATTTATCTCTACCATGAAATTGGAAAAAAAAATTTTCCCGTGATTCTTACAACATTCTTCTGAAACTTTAGCCCATTCTTCAGTAATTGTACATACAAAGGCAATTATTGTTAATAGTGCATTTTCTAAATAAATGTGTTGGGAATCAGATGCTTTACCGTGAGACTGTAGCCCTCAAAGCAGTTTATTATTATTGCCTTCTTGTTCTGAGCAAAGAATCTGTTAAACCAGATTGTATTACCACTGTATATTTAGACAAAATCGCTGATATTTACAAAAGGTCATATTTTATACTGGAATAATAAAACATACAGAAAAAAACCCAAAATAATATTTTCCATATATCCTGAAGATGTATAGAAACATAAGAATTTTCTAAATATTATTAATGCAAGATAGAATGCTAAAGCCGTCTATAAACTGCTTGTGTGACCACGTTTTATAGAGACGAAGCTTCTATTTGAAGGCCAAATCTGGTTTAAAAGACAACAAAAAGGGAAAGTAGCAGCTAAAATCATTAGCACCTAAGTAGCAGGCTCCTTCATTATGGTGAGATATATTTTTATTTATCTCTAGATTTGCAATATATCAATATAAATTTGCATGTGCAAATGCTATGCATGTTTGTTTTCCATTTGAACAGGTAATAAGTGACCATTCTAATTTATAATCCCTAATGTATCATTTGTGAGGGAACTATTGGGGGGGAAACATTTTAATATATGAATATTTTAAACATTAGATCAAATGTATCCTGTAGATTTAAGAAAAATGTCATTCTAAAGAATTAAATGGTGCTTTAGAATTTCAGCTCAGTTTTCAAAATACTGAAAAACAAGGAGAAAATTTTTAAAGTAACTAATTGTGATTAAAAGTAAGAATAATTAAACAAGAATTCTGTGTTTAGAAAAATGATCAGTCTCTGTAAAGCCAATTCTCATCAAGGGAAAAAAACCTCCAGAATATTTCTGTTGAAAGCCCCTAGTTTTGAAAATGAACATTTTAGAAAAGCAGACTTGTTATAAATATGTACAATAAATTAATCTTAAGAAGATAAAATATTTATAAAATCTTTATAATAATTTCCTGAGCAAATATATACATCATAAAATTGACTTGCCAATAGAATACATTCTTACAGATCCGGTCTGGATTATTTCTAAAAACTTCACCCTAATTCTCCGTAGTCTACTTTCTGATGAAGGGACTGTTGAAATCCAGTCTTAGTTACCAATTCCTAGTAAACTTGTCATCTTTCATAGCTTTTACAAGCCAGTCCCTTTCTTTCTCTTCATCATAATCAGAATCACTCATATCACTAGAATCTGCAGCTAAGAGACGGGAATAATTAATCCTTTTATGTCGTGGTAATTTAGATTGAGCAACCAAGAACAAAACTAGCCACAATATTAAGGTAATGGAACATGCTCTGTAGAGCATTGCTAAACCAAAGCTGTTCACAACAAACCCTCCTGCAAAGCTGCCTAAACTGGCTCCACATCCATGAGAGAGGCCTTGAAGGACCAAGTGCAGAGACCTTTCTGTGCCAGGAGTGGCAACATCATCTGTCAGCATGTTCACTGCCCACCATAACGCGCCATTGCTGAAGGCGCAGAAGACCTGGATTGGCAGCACAGCCCAGGAATTCCAGAGGAAAGAATAGTAGAGCAGTTGTGCTGCCAGGCAACTTAATCCCAAGGCAACTGTGCCACCACCAGAGAGCGCCTTTAGCAGTTTGCTTTTGAAGATATAGAGCAGGATTTCAGCAATTAGTCCAATAGTCACCGAGAGGCCCATGAATAATTCATGGCTGCCTTGATCTTGCATTTGCCAGAAGAGAAAATTCTGCACAGTTGAGCCAATAGCTCCTGTGAGGAAGATGGTGACAGCACACAGGATGGTTCGACCGTCACTCCCAATGAGATTCAAAGCTTTGGATGTTTTATTGACATGTTCTTTTTTCTCTGACACATAAATGGGAAAGAAGGTACTGACAAGTAACGTCAGTGTCATGAACAAGGCATAGCCATAAAAATGCACGGCAAAACGTGGAATATTAGTACTCAGAAAGCAATTCAGTTGATCCACAAATATTGCAGTGCTGCAGACACCCACAGATGCTCCCAAGTAGCTCCAGATCCAAAGGTTCTCATATCTATCAGCAGCATCCACAAAGTCAAGGTATTCATAGAGACTATCATCAACCATCCACTCAAGTGGTCCAGCCAGCAGCTCCCAAAGGACAATATCACCTAACACCATAAGGAAGACCTGATGCTCACTGTCCAAGAAGTCAGTGCCCTGAAGTAACTGAGAGCTTATATCTTGTGCTCTTTCCCTGCGCCCTGATAGATTTTTCAGTACATAAGGTACCTCTGTAACAGCTGATGGGGTTTTGTAAAATGTGAAGTTACTATTTCTTCTCAAGTCGTTTTGGTCAGCATTTTCTTTGATAGTCATGATGCCAGCAGTTTCTTTCAAAGGCACATTCACGGTAGTTTTTTCCAAATTTTGCTCTGCTGGGACAAAAGCTTCCCCAGAAATACCAGATGTCACACCAGAAGAGGCATCTACAAATTGCTGTGGCTTTATAGCAACATCATTGCTACCTTGGTTTACTATAGGAGTTGTAATATTTTTTATTTTGAATGAGGTATACATTACTGTTGGTTTTTTCTTAGACTCTTGGTCCTTTGAGATCATTCCAAGTGATTCTGTAGACCACATTTTGTTATCGGCAAAAGAGTTACCATTCATTGCATTCAGATGGTTCATAGTTACATAAGGCACTTGCGTTGTAGTCAGTTGTTTAGTGGGATGCTGGCTCATGTTGCAAAATTTATAAATAATATCTTTGCTCACTGGTGGGATGAGTGTAAGTAGCAAAACTGTTGCAACTGAGCAAAACAATGACCCACTAATAATTATTTTCCTTTTATTGTGGGTTTTGGATAGATAGGAACAGAGTGGGGCCCAAAGAGAAGTGATTAAATGCTTGAGTCCTATTATAATCCCTACTAGAGGTGCAGACAGCCCAAGCTGCCGAAAGTAGAGTGTTAAAAATGGGATTGCACAAGCATTTCCTGCACCATAAAGAAAATGGAAAAGACTGGCAAGAGTAAGCGCTTTGTTTACATCCCACTGGTTATTTGTACTCATGGCTTCAGAAGCAGTCTGTGTTCCCACTTTTGCCCTGCAAATTAATAAAGCAAAGACAGATTTATCAGTACTCTATAACATAGGACAAATATGTTGAATGTCTTAATTTGATACGACTGCAAATCACTAATCAAACCTGTAATGCAACTATAAATACAACAGCAACAACATCATAACTGGTTTATGACAGAAAAAACATTGTCTATAAGATACATTTTTTAGGAATTAATGAAAAGAAAAACCTAAGTTCTGAGTCAAGAAAATACCTTTCTTAATGTGTTGATTCCCTTAAACTATAATCCTCTATACATTTACCAGGCCCATTTAATTTATTAATGCTTATTTCAGGGCACTGTAGGTAAGCAGAATTACACTGAAATATGCCTTTGTTTGATTAGGATTACATTTATCCTAAGCCTTTTTCAAAGTAAAATAAATGGCATTTCTTTCTTATATAAGGAATAGATAAAACCATTAAATAATTTTTAAAATTCAAAGGGACGCTTACATACAGGTTTGCAACAAAATCCTTTTTAAAAAATAACAAAAAAAGCTAAAGACCCAAAACAGTGTATGTGTATGTATATAAATTTAAAATATAATATTATGATGTATGAAAGAGTGGCATCAGTCACCAATAATATTATTAAAGAAATGATTCAGAATTTAAAAACTAAACAATATTCCAAAATTTTTAATATATGTGCCATAAAGCAAAAATTATTTTAGAGGAAAAATGTTACTATTTATACTTGAAAGTGTTGTTAATCAAAATAATGGGATCCAGTGCAACTAATGAGAAACATTGTATTTGCTATATATAGTACATAAATTCATATTACAGGGTACTGAACATATAAAACACAGCTTTTTGATAGACACATTTTAAAATAATTTTAAGAATCGGGCTACTGAATTTTTCTGTTTCATTAAATGAGATATATTTTTGAAGCTAGGACTGGAGAAAGAGACAAACATAAAACACTTGTATTATCATGGAAACAAAAAAAAAGGAAGATAAAAGCAATGATGAGAGATAACATCATTAAACTCATATTTCAAATTTTTGATTAGCATTAGCTTTAGCAGTACAGAATTAGGATTCTAGAATCAAATCAAATATAAATAACACCAAGCTCCAATATCAGTCAGTAATTGAATAAGAGCCAAACATATTAAAATTACAATTTTACAAAATGTTTTGAAAGTGAATTTGTAACTGTAAAGAAAACATAGTGAGAGCTATAAGGTGTAACAAAACTCTTCAACTAGGAAAGAGTAGACAACATGAACAACTTTGTTTTCAGAAACTACATTTACATCTATAGGAGGACTGTCGAACATTTACATGTTCATAGGCACAACCTCTCTTTGGGGTTTCACGTGGCATACTTATTAGAAATTGTTTGTATTTTACACTCATATACCCCATCGGCCTTTTGAGGAGCAACCAGGTCTTGTTAAAGGTGGCCAGGTTATGGCCAACCAAATGTGGGAGGCGGGAAGTGCTTCATAAGGCAGATGCTGTGGCAGAGAAGACAGGCCTCTTGGGTCACATCAGGTGACATCATCTAATCATAGGATCTGGAGGGTATCAACCCCTTCTGGAATTTACAGAATGAGATTGATAATCCTGCAAATAACCAGATTCCAATTGTAGCTCCAGTTGGGCCATGATACTTTTTTTTTTAAAAAAAAAAACATAGCCTCCACATTTTAAGAAGGCAGCATTAGCATCTATTTAAAATTTAACCTTGTTCCACTTTCAGTATACACAGACACAAACACACACACAAACAAACACATACACAAAAAGGATATTTGAGAGAATGATATGTTAAAAGGGAGGGGCATTTTGTTAGAAAGCCTTGCCTATCCAACCTTTTAAAATAGTCCTTGATGTATATTAACAACCGTTTATTCTAATGGCCTTTGCACCTTTCTAGGAAAAAAACTAAATGGTTTTGAGAACAGTCCGCCCGTTTTCTCCTTGTTTGTGCAAATCGAGGCCGTAGAATACTGATGGTTGATGATGCCAGTTCTGGTCATTCGGGCCATGAGACCCTTTATTATGCCCATGAGTGAAGGAACCCCCTTGGAAACCTGGCCTTCCACCCGTCTGAGCAGCAGCCGCACCGGCAGCCTCGCCCCACGCGGGCGGCGGCCCCTTCCCCCACCCCCCACGCGCCTCATTTTCATGCTCGCGGGGGACTCCCCTCCTCGGCCCCGCACCTTGGAGACGTTGCCATGGCAACTTCTGCGGCCGCCCGCCTCTCCGACGCTGAACTCCAGCTGCCGAATACGGGGCCTCTCTTACCTGAAAGCAACGATCAATCGGCTTCTTCCGCTATTCCAGGCGGCCTGCGATTCCGAGCACGCCGACTGCGCATGCGCCGGGGTACCTGTCAGAGCGGTGTACACCTGCTGCCTCTGCTCAGCTGCTGGAACGCTCCTTCATCCTCCGTTGGGGGGGGAGGGACAAACAGTTGCTAGGATACGAGGAATCATTCTGGGAAGTAGGAAAAGGCGCCCGGCCGCGTGATCTGCCTTCCTTCGACGTTCAAACGCCGGAGACCAGCTTTGCCTTCTTTCTGCCCTTTGCAAAGTCTTCCTTCCGATGCTCGCATAGTTGTTCTCGGGATTTGAAATATAGTATAGTTTGCGGGGCTCACTCCAAAAGTAAGTGCTTCTTACTCTTAAATAACTTCAAATTGTTGTTCGTTGGGAATACAAATTGGGACCCGTTGGAAAGAAAGTGATAAGAGAATCGAAAATCTTCAGTGTCTGGTCTTGCTTCCATTTCCTAGAAGGAAAACTTGCTTTATCCTTTATCCTCTATTCTATTAATTTTCTCTTATCCTGTAATGTCTCGCCATCTCCTAAAGACAGTGTTCCTTCTAATGTTTATCTTTATTTTGTAACTGCATTGCCCCTTCTACGGATTTATTGTACTAAACATGTATTTTGCAACTTGTGTATCCTGTAACCATGATCAATTTTTCTCCAAGCAGTTAACTTACATGTAACTCATTTAAACTGGTAAAAATGTAAATGAAGTGTGGATATCAGGCAACAAAGGAGGACAAAGGTTTTACTGTGAAAATTAAAGTTTCAAAATCTTAGAATAACAGTAACAAAACATGGCACCATCATGATGCCAAGTTTCCCAAGGACATCATATCCCAGCTCAAACAGAGATGATCAAGTACAGTATTAGGCTCATTATATTGTCTTACTGTCACAACCAGTGAGCTGTGAATAAGATGAATTGAAATTAAACATAATTGATAGGGATTATTACCAGTTTAAAACTGGGATTTAAAAGCTCATCTTCTAAAATCAGTTCCTATTTAGAATGAAAATGTCTTGCAACCCTGTCAACATTCCAAGGTTCCAAATATTTTTGGTGGAGGCGATATGTTTATTCAGTAGTGCGGTTTACTTTTATTTTGAATTGATGTTACTAGATTCTTTAGAGAGAAAAGCCCCACAAAATTATATTTAATTTCATAATAAAGTGAAAAAATACTAGCTTTGCTAAAGATCCTACTATTTTATTTTAAATGAAGGATTCCTCCATGTCTTCCTCCCTCCCTCCCTACACCCAAATTCTAATAACTCTGGGAGCAATATTGGATCCTTATATATCTCAATTCATTGGTATATATATATATATATATATATATATATATATATATATATATACATACATACATACATACATATATATATTTGTTTTCTCTCAATCTTACACAGGAAAAGACCCGAACACGCCAAGACCTGCACGCGCGCATGCGCACGCACACACATGCACACACACACACACATACATATATATATAATTTATAACCTCCAATTGTTGTCTAAGGAAGAAAAATGACAGGAACATATAGCATTAAACTTTTTAAAAAGTAATTTAATGAAATTAAAGACTGCCTCTTTCCAGCAGATGTTATAACTATACAAATAATTTATAATGTATTTACACAATGTACATCTCCATTTAATACAGATATAATTCAATATTCAAAACAGTTAATAACTTTTGGGTTGTAAACATTTAGCAGCAGCACCATGTTTAGGAAACCCTTTAAACCATGCTTAAAATTATAGTTTTTATTTCTTAAAAAGAGATTGATCTTCATAGCAGCTCATGAAAATATTAGTTTTATATGATCTGTTTTTCTATCAGCCACTGCTCAACCTATATAATTTGTATTATTGCTCTGTTGAATATGATCCTTTCCATATTCCAGCTTTTGTCTATTTAAAATAATTATGCAATTAAAGGAACCCTATGCCCATACCTATCCATTATTTACAAAAATAGAAAGACAAAACTGTACAAAGGCTGCCTTTGAGAACTATGAACATCATGCTGCATAAAACTTGTTGTCTGGTATGGTTATATGCATTTCACTATTCATGTTATATATAGGGAGAGCGTGTGCATTAAAATCAGGTTTGAATAGAAAGCAATATAAAAAGTGTAATAGCATTGACTGCAGAAAGCAGATAAACTTTCATAACATCTCTAAAATGATTATTTTCTTCCCTTGTGATGTTCATACTTTACTAGAATTTTTATTTTTGTCATTTCATTTTACCGGTATTATTATTTCTTAAACTGTCCTGAAGACCCAGTGAGGGCCAGTAAGTAAAATGAAAAACAGAATATTTTAATACTGTAGGAGGCAGGAACATACTCTATTCAACTTCGATCATTTAGTCCTACTGTTCCATCATATATAGGAATGATCCATTCATTTACAATACCTGTGCCTCAGGATAATCACCTACTGTTGACTTCACAATCAAAGCACTCTTCAGCAACCTGATACAGGTATGGTTATATGCATTTCATGAAATTACAGGTCCCAAAATCACAAGTGAAGCAAAATAGAATGAGTTTTATATATTATCACAATTTGTATAATAGATCTGTATAGTAACAGACCTCAATAAAATCACAAGTAGATGGCAGCAGTCAGCTGAGCCTGGCTGATATTAAGAGCTAAGCACTTGGCCCTGTCAGTTTTTAAATGAGGGGGTTGCCTGGGAATTCCAGAGTAGACTAAAAGTGCAAAGGTGTGGTGGTGCAGGTAAGACTGAAGAACTATTTTGTAACACTGCCAAGAAAACTGCATGGACTAACTGGGATGATTCAAGGATACATTTATCTGTATACTAAAAACATTTATTTAGACACATAATGTGACTGGAGAACAAAGGCATTTTAAAAAGAGACTGAAATGAGGCTGAGAAAATCCCAGGACATAAAACAAGATCAAAACCAAGGGACCCATAGATACTTATAGAAATGGCTAGTTTATATTAGTATGAAAAAGCAAAAAGTTGTGGGGTTTGATGTTAATACTTTATTTTACTGCAACAGAGGGAGTCAAAAATAACTTTTCTTTTTCCCAGTCCTTCCTCACTTCTCTTCCCTCTTTCTCCCCCACTGCCTTCCTATTTACTTTTGTATTTTGTATCTTATAACTCAATAAAATGCTTTTTTTTTAAACCCAAGGGACCCATGATTGAGTGGGAAAGGTAAAGCTTAAGCTCCAGGCCAGAGAAAATATATCAATAAAGTTAGAAAACAATTGGAAAGAAGGTCACAAAGACATTATTTTAGGAGGAAGTGAGAAAGAGGGATAACAACAGAGCATTCAAGTAACAAATTTAGGTTTCTTGCAATGTGAGACCATTGGTGTCAAGATGACCAAAGCAAGCCGAGGTGCTAAGTAACACCAAAAGACTTGCTGAAATAAATACTAGCTTCCTGAAAAAGTATTGAATGTAGATAATGTATTGAATGTAGATAAGCTCATATATAAGCAAAAGGGGACAATCAGAAATAAAGGCAGTCACTATACAATTTATAAATTTTCTTATTTCTTTGACTACCATTATAGCAATAGCACTTAGACTTATATACCGCTTCACAGAGCTTTATAGCCCACTCTAAGTGGTTTACAGTGTCAGCGTATTGCTCCCAACAGTCTGGGTCCTCATTTTACCGACTTCCGGAGGATGGAAGGCTGAGTCAACCTTGAACTGGTGGGACTCAAAATGCCAAAGTGCAGACAGCCAGCAGTCAGCAGAAGTAGCTTGTAGTAATGCATTCTAACCATTGCACCACTATGGTTCTTACATGATTATGCGTGTACGGATTCATGCACACATTTGTTTAATATTCTTCCACTTATTTTCTAATGAAATAAACATTGCAAACATTGCATTGAATCTAAATTCTTAATTTTGGAACAAAGCTTATCTATCTATGGGTTTTTTTTAATAAGCTTATCTGTGATAAATTTATGACAACACCTGCCTCAGCTGAGATTTAATTAAAGCCTCTGTGTAAGGAATCTAATTACATTTACCATACACATGATAAAATGAAAGCAATTCTTTCTTAATCTCGTAAAAAAGAACTGCTGTATTCAAAGAAAACACAGTATAGTAGCTTAAAGATTTCATACCTTGTTTTCTTCTGCATCAGAGCCCACTTTCTTTTATCTCATGCAATGTGGTAGAATCACTGGTTAAAGGAGAGGGGGGAGTAAAGAGATGCAACAGCACTGTGTCCGTCTGTGGTAGGAAGCCACAAAGGCCAGACTAGTGAAGCCCTTATTCCCTGGTTCTCAAGGAATGCAGTCAGTTTGGCAAGATTCTTGTAAACTTGTCACCAACAATAAATAAACTGCTTTGGCTTATTCATGGAGTTGTTCTGATTCCTTAGGCCTGTCATGCTATTGCAAAGCTACAAAATTTTCCTATATTGGATGAGTTCTTCTTTTTTCTATTGCTAAAAGCCAGTTTTGTTCTTTTGGCAATACTTTTTTCTTTTATCTTGATATCTTTCTTTCATTGGATTAATTCCTAATGAAACTCAAAAAAAGATTTGAAAGGTTGGGATTATCAGCTTCTTTATCGAATAATGCCTGCAAAAGTATTGATGGGTAACAGTAAAGACTTAGGTAAGTATTTGGCCAGTCCTATATCATCGTCGTCTTCCTCTTGCAACTTGGTCTGTTTTGTTCTTGATTTTTGCAAACAGTAGCTGGGTTCTAGGCAGGGAAACACTTGAATACTGCAAAAAAACAAAAACAAAACCCAATACAATTTCAATTACTAAATATCTAAGATACAAACATAATTCTATTTTCAAAAATCCCTTTGTGAGTGACCATATCATTTAAAAATTGGGGAATGTTGTTTAATTAGCAATCCATATATTCTAAGCACACAATAATTTATAATTTATAATATTTGATGAAATGATAATATGATATGATAATATTATAAATGATAATATTTGATTTGAGGAAAAATTAGATGTCTCTTACTGTAGCTAGAATGAGTTAGCTACAATTGTTTTAATTATTTTTTCCTAGTGAATTTGGTGTAGGAAGGCACTTATCAACATTGACTTGTAAGATGAGTTAAGTTGTCTTATACCCATTAATGCAGGTAGGTCTCACCTTCTGTTTAAAATTGGGACCTGCAATTATGTCACTAAGGGCTACAGTCACTAAGCAAAATGCCATATGACCATGCTGGACTTTTCACTTCATTTCTGCCTTCAGCATTAAGCAAATCACCATGGTGGTTATGTGAGACACCACATGACTGTGACTTGCAATTTCACTTCAATATTCTCTATAATTCTGGAAAATCATGTGACTATGAGACACTGCAACAGACATAATTGTGCCCCGATGGTGAAGTGCCCAAGTGGCAATCACATGGCCGTGGGATCCTGTAATGGGCATAAGTGTGAGACTTGGATGCAAAGCTGGATTTCTTTCAACAGTTGTAAGTTCAAATGGTTGTTAAACAAGGCAGTTGGTAAGTAAGAACTACCTGTATTTGCAAAGGACATAATTTCTGTGATGATCAGCAGCCTAGAATGTCTAATCAGAACAGCTAAGCATACATATCCAAAGTATTTTTAATTACTTTGAAAGCTTAAAGGAAATAAGAATGCTTTTTAGGGTGATTTGCTATACATTCTCATACTTCAGAAACTGACCGAGAAGAATCAATAATTATTGCTCATTAAAAAAGACTACCTGATAACATTCTTATAGGCTCGCCTGGAATCCTTGTCAAGGAATACAGTAAAAGATCTTTGGTCTGTACTTCTGAGGCTGATGTTGCGCATTCGTATAGTATTTGTCATTAGCTGAAAGAAAATGAAAGATGTTCTGAATATAAAAATTGGACTTCAGCCAAACCTACTGTATATCCAAATAAATAAAGATGTGTATTGAGTTGCCTTCCATTTTTAAGCATTTTTTCAATACAGCTAAATGAGTCATGTGTTGGGACCACAGGAAACTCTGTAAGTCATGTTTGACATCATAAAATACAATTTTAGAAAGCTGTTATTCATTAAAAATAATCTGATGTAACACAGAAAAAGTATGAATATGATTTCTTCAGTTTGAAATAATATTGTCTTGCTCAGGGAACCATTAATGGATTGGAGCTCCAGTATTAAAGGTAGTCCTTGACATATGACCATAACTGAGCCCAAAAATACCATATTAAGTCATTTGGATCATAAGTCAAAGCACTCACGTGATAAGTAATTTTTTGTGGCAGGCAGTCATTAAATGAATGCCATGGTTGTTAAGTGAACCTATTCATTTGAAAGGGTGTTCAAAACATTGTGAATTGCAGTCATGTGATCGCAGAACATCACAACCAGTCATAAGTTGACCTGTACAACATTCTATCATATGACCACAGAGGATGGGCAGTGTCATTTATGATGGCCAGGGGTTCCTTAAAAATCATAGCACCCATTCTGTGGCAGTCATAACTTTGAATGGTTATAAAATGATTGGTTATTGAGCAAGGACTTTAGAAAGAAGGTGATTAACTATTTCTGCAATGTAATCATTCCCTAAAAACAGGGTTTTTTTAATGTGGTAGAAAATACAAGATATTCTGAGGTATGACTAGAAATAATCCTTGTTAAAGGTTTAATGAAACTATTTGCTTTATACTACTCAATAATATATTAAATAAACACTTCTTAGCTAATTTTTCTTTTCCATCATTACCTATATTTGCTCCAGCAAAAAAGATTGTTATATTCTCTGAACGATAACATATAACCTTGTAAGATTTTTTAAAAATCAAAAGCCATACATTAAATTCTCTTGGAAGAACTGCATTTTATACTATAATATTTAAATTATCTGGTATATATTCTATAGACAATTCTGAGAAGGGAGCAGGAGGCTTTTTTGCATTAATAATTTGATCGATATAAAACATTTAATAAGTACAAATTTTAACCAGTTGAAGAAAAAGTCTTAATTTTTTTAGGAATAATGAAAAAAGGAAAAATTACTAAACCAACTGAAATTCTGAAAACTCTGATTAAGCAATGTCTCCAATAGCAAGCAGGCACACACAGCAATTTAGCAATAGATTGCATTTGAAATACAGATTTGCAAATTCCTGATTTGCCAAACTAATCCAGAAACCTCTCACGTAACTTTTCCCCATTATGGCTTCTATTCCAGAAAAATCACATTACCACTTACAGAATATGATCGTCCTGAGGTTTTTATGACTTCATCAATATTTGCAGTCAAGCACACTAGATCTACAATGAGGAAAAAATGAAGAACTAATGAGTACTGACCTTGTCCTGATCTCCCCTTCACATGTCTAGCAGTAGTAATAGCCACATTTTAATTTAGTTTATTTTGTTCCAATGTTATATCATTCAAAAGTTAGAATTCTCTGAGCAGCATACAGTATTAGTAAATTAAAAACATTTTAAAAAATAAATGATACAGTTTGGACATACTGTAGTAAGATAAAACTAGTAGAAAGAATAGGCCTTCCTGGGAAGAAGGCGGAGCCTCCTAGCTGACAGACCGTAGATCGCATCTCTCTGTGTTCCATGCTCTTTCGTTGGAGAGCCCCGATCATTCTGATTAGGGACTGAAGCTGCCTTGGAGGGGCGGCGGAGTAAGGGGAAGCCGCAAGCTGGGGTGAGGGGAGCCGCATCTCCCCTGCTGGGCTTGGTCTTTTTCTCCCCGAAGATGACTGCAGCGGTGGTTTAAAATGGCCACCCCGAAGAGGAGGACTCAGCTGGATTAAGATTTGTGCAGGAGGGAAGAAAGAGGTGGATAACATCTGAACCGGCACAACTGTGCGATGCAACTAAACAAAAGAACCCCGAGATTAAGGTAACATGGAATTTTTAAGAAAAGAAAAGTGAGCAGCGAAATTACAAAGGGACAGGAAAAAAAATATTTCTGACAGCTAAGCGGGGCTTCAAACCAGGAAAGGAAGAAGCCGGAACTAAAGATTTAACTAAATTGGACTAAAATATTTTGTCAATAAACAGGCATAAAATAAAACTGGACTTAAGATTGTCAAAAAATAATAATAATAAAGTTTACAAATTGGAGACTGGACTGTGCTAGAATATTGAGGTTTGAAAAACCCTAAATAAAAAAATAGGGGAAAAAGGTGAAGACTTTGTATAATGGAGAGTGCCACCTTTTGACAAAAACTTGAGCTCAAACAAGGGAAAGCATCCTGTTTCTGAATGAACTTGTGTGGATATAATATTAAAGAAATATTGAAACAAAATAAGAATCTTAGAAAGTGAAAGCAGAACTAGAATAAAGAAAAAAGCAAGGAAAGACTGACTGTGGGATTGATTGATGTTTTTGGTATAGACCCTGGGCTGGAACAATTGAGAACATTAGAAAATTGAAAGAAGAAAGAAGGAAAGTAAAAGTGGTTTTTTTGTGCACTTTAACGATCATAAAATACAAGAGTGTATAATGATGATATCTCTTCAGGAATTAAAAATGGAACTTAAAAATATGAGAGAATTACTACAGGAAAGAGGCGAATCACTTTGTTCTATGTTAGAAAAAATGGAAATGGTGATTGAAGAACAAGAAGAAAGAGCTTCAGAGGAGGATGAGTCGATTCAAGGAGAAGACATTTTAAATAGACAATTAACACAAAGAACACTACAAAGAAGTGGGGAAAGAAGGAAGGTTAAAAAGTTGAGACTTAAGAAGACAATCAAAAGGAGAATACCTGTGAAGTTGGGAAAGACAGAAAGACTCAGCAGAAAAGGGGAAAGGAAGATATTAAGAGAGGGATATAAACTGGAATGAGAAAAGATATGGGGAAAAGAGGGGGAGGAGAAGCAGTAAGAAACAAGTGCATGAAATAAAGAAATACGGAAATAGTGAAATGTTGAAAAGAAATTGTTTTTTTCAGAGATAATGGTTGATGAATTAAAAAGGGGATTCTGCAGGGTGACACGGGGTAATAAGAATATTTCTGCAATTAAAAATATTTAGAAAATAGGGTAATATAGATACTGATAACTCATTAAAAATTAAGGGGGGGAAATATGCTGCGGAATCCAAATGAAAAGATGTAATGATTATTATTGTAACTTTTTAAAAATAATGGTTTATTGGGAATCAAGATGAGGGAATAAAGGTATATTTTAATCATTCAGGTGTCACACTCAAAGCAGTAAAAGGAGGGAAACCTATACTTGTTTTTTTTTCTTTAGTATTAAAATTTGTATTAATCTAGAATTTATAAAAAGAATGTGTAATGGAAAAGGAATACGACAGACTAAAGAACCAACTAAATTAATACATTAATATAGACTATTAAAAGCAAGGAGAGACATTGGTAACCTTTATTATTATTGTTGTTATTATTATTATTATTAGGCAAACATACTGTTTATCTTTATTTTTAAAATAAATATTAAAGGATTATATTTTAAATAATTGAAATGAAACAAAAGATGTTTCAATTGAGATTAATGAAAGAGGCTAGAATTAATGTGTTTGTTTCTCTCCTCGCTGAAAATTTGGAATGGAAAAGGTAATGATAGAATTAAGTATGCATATATGAATGTATATGCTGTCATATTTGTACGTAAAGGTGATGACCCGGAAATATGTTGTCCACTAAAAAGAGATTTTTGGTTTTTTGTGAAAAACTGAATAAAATTTGTTAAAAAAAAAAACTAGTGAAAGAATAAAACTCAATTCAGTAAATAAAATTATAAAGTGATGCAACATTGCATTTAGGACTTGAGGCTAAGTGTAAAATGTGTTTATATGGCCCAATTTATTATCTATAATTCTATGAAGAAAGTGACTGCATAAATTTAATTACAAATGCAGGAGAGAAGCACATTAAGAAGATTATCTTTGAACAATTTTTACAGATGTGAGATTTTATATTCAGTATGAAAGACACACTAGATTTTTAGAAAAAAAATAAAATGTATAGGAAACATTCTATAGAAATATTTTTCCTGCCTGTTTTGCATGGACTTCATTGACACCTATTTATTACTGGATGATACATCTAAACTGTATATCATAATCAAACCAATTTTATCCGTTTTTTATTTTTTAAATGATTATGATGGTTCCATCATCCCCTTCCATGATAATATGCAAACAGGTTATTCCTTTGATCAAGATTGTTTCTTTCTTCCCCATTCCTTGGAGACATATTATACTTCTAAGCCAGGGGTGGGCAATTAATTTCTGTCGGGGGCCACATGGAAAATCAGAATTGCGTTCGAGGGCCAAACCAATTTTATAAAAGGCCATTATAAAGGGCCCATTATAAAATGCAGCAAATTATATATAAGAATAATATATATACATATACGTATACATATACATACATACATACATACACATATACACACACACACACACACACACACACA